CTGAAAAAAGTGCCGGTTGTTGCCTTCTTTTTATCAGAGCCTCAACTGCACATTCGCCATATGACCAGGACATGCATTTCTTATCTGGAAATCTCCGTACTCCTTCGGTAGACCTTTCGCAAAATTGGAAAGCCGGAACTGTCGTGTATATAATCCCCGTGTTGCTACGGAAACGAAAGCCAAATCTGTGAACACTTTGAAAAAGTGCGAAATCATTTTTTGATGTCAAGATAATAGAAACGATTCTAATTTGCCAAAAAATGACTGGAATACATCGGTTAGGAACGGTGCAGAGATTTCTTTCGAAGTCAAGATCATCGTAGGCTATTTTAAATTGCCAGAAATTGACTGGTACACACATACTTCCTCTCCCAAATTTCCAAAGCTTCTAAACACCATTCCCTTTTCAAACCTGTCTCAATTAGTCGACTCTTCGACCAGGAACGATTGTGTATAAGACTTAATCTTTACTAATGGCACCTTCCCTCTATCTATGGATTTCTATCAAAACCTTTTTGCAAGTGATCATGCATTAATTCAATGTCGCCTTCCAGTTGCCATTTCCGCAAAGCCGACTTTGCTAATATTAACAAGGAATTAGTAAATAACTTTACAAGCACACTTGATTGGTTCAATATTTTTCCAAATAATGATCTAAATTTTTTCAACAGTTTATTACAATGCATAACAGAATATCTTCTTGATTCGAGGAAACAATATACTAAACGTTATTTTCACCAAAGATATCTGGCCTGTCTATATGCGCTACGACTGCGTAACCTTTGTAAGTGACCACAAAGCCATAATACCAACACTCCCCTTAAATGCAAAACTAGCACCCCATTTTAGTAACACACGCCTAAACCCAACAAGCTTGAAAGACTCCATGAACAACTATATTAGGTCATTGGATTGGAGCCCATATATTCTAACGCCATGTCCTATGGAAGCAGTTAACCTATTGTACTATGTCCTATTTATAATTCGAGAGACCCTGATAGACGAAAGAATCCCATATATGAAACCACTAATCCCTCACTTCCTTTCAACTAAGCTAAAAAACTTAAAAAAATAGCTACACAAATCCTCTGTAAGTTATTTATCTACACTTCGATGAATTAGGGAAATTCAAGACCCAGTTACGAAAATGCAAACACAAAACACCATAGGAGCGGAACATCGGGCATTAGAATCCCCTGAACGAACAGCTCAGATGTTTAAGAAACAAATGAATAATCATCGACAGTCAGGACCACGAACTGTTATTGATGAATTAGGACAAGTTATAACAAATGACAACCAAATAGCAAATGCATTCAACAAATATTTCTCAGCTTATTACACAGTCGAAGAGGGAACGATCCGCCAACCGACCGAGATGACTGAACGAATCCTTAGTGAGATCCGTTTTAATGAAGGAGATGTTAATGTAGCCATTAAACAACTATCCAACGCCCACGCCCTTGGGACGGACAAAATCCTCACATGTAGTCTGAAGCATATGACATATGCTCCAATACTCCTATCTAAGCTATTCACCCTACTCCAGTCAAATGCATTTTTCCGGACACGTGGTAATACTCGACCATCGCGCCTGTCTTTAAAAGCGGCAACCGATCTCATACCCAAAACTACCGTGGTGTTCATCGAACAACGGCTATAGCTAAAATCCTCAAAAAAATAGTCAAGAACCAAGTGCTAGACCATCTCATAAACGCCAACCTCATTCTCTCCTCTCAACATGCATTTTTACCTAAAAAGTCATGTCAGTCCTGCCACCTTACTTTTTTGGAATTCGTTTCCAGCAATAGAGATGATGGAAACACAGTAGTTTCAATATACTTCGAACTAAAAACGGCCTTTTTACAAAGTCCCCCATAAAAGGCTACTGGTGAAGCTCAAAAGTCATGGAATTAGGCCTCCGTTTCTTGATTTTCTTAAATCCTATCTTCAAAACCGATATCAAGTGGTGCAAATTCGAAACGCATTCTCAGAACCATCCCCTATTACCGGTGGAGTACTTCAAGGCACTATCCTAGGCCCCCTTCTATTTCTTATATATATTCACGACTTATCGTGCATATAAGTATCAGCTAAGACGTTTTTATATGCGGACGAGCTTAAACTTGCATATGCATATAACGGGAACACAGTTGCCAATGTTCACAGAACAATTGAAACTGACCTCAGAAAACTCAGCGAGCGGAGTAGTCAAAGGCAGATGCCCTTTTCACCCGAAAAATGTCATCTCCTGATCTTTGGCCCAAAAATCTTCCCCCCGTAATATTCGAGGATAATGAAATAACGGAGGCCCCATCGGTAAAAGATTTAGGTCTCAGCTATACAAATACCCTTGATTTATCTCCCACGTCCGACAAATATCACTGAAAGCAACTCGCCTATGCGGATTCATATGTAAAAATTTCACCTTAAATGCACTTAGAATACAACTTTTCAAAATGTATGTTTTACCTCTCCTAGATTACTGTTCAATTTTCTTCGGCATAATGCCCTCAGACGGCCGAAAGAAACTAGAAGGCATTCAGAGACCTTTTACGTGATCTTTGTCTTGAAGTGATGGTATCAGGGGTTCATACGTAGAACTAAATCATAAATACGGTCTTCGAGCACTCTGGATCAGAAGACTCCAAAATGGTCGAAACTTCCTATTCAATTTCACCCATGACCGAGATATTCTCAAAATGACTTTACTAACACCATCAAGGATTTAGGTTTCAACTACACAAATAATTTTGATCACTCGTCACACGCTAACAGAATCACAGCCAAAGCTGCCCAGATTTGTGGCTTTATTTCTTACAATTTTTTATCATCCGGAAATTAAATTAAGACTCTATCGTATGTTTGTACTTCCCATTCTCGAGTATTGTTGACCATTCTTTGGTTTGATGAATGAAGCCAGTAGTTCAAAAATTAAAAATGTCCAATGAAGTTTTTCTATGAAACTTTTAGATGAGGAACATCCCAATATCTCCCACTCAGATAGATGCCAGCTAATTAACCGAAAAATTTTTATGGGTTCGAAGACTAGAAGCGGGCTTCTGTCTCCTCTTTCGCATTAATCATAGTTCAAATTTTCCTCGGATTTCAGCACTCACCCCAGTAGTCGCCCATACAATCTTCGCAACTCGCCCTTGATTATACCTCCTCCAGCGTCCTCCACCTCTAAACGCTCCCTTTTTTCGGTTCCAGATATACTTTTCTCTGGAATAGCCTTCCAATAAATATAAGATCTTCAGAAAACCTACACACATTTATGAGAAGGCTACGCATTTATCTGAATACTGACTCGATTAAGCTTTTATTTTCCTCATCCTCCCCAGACAACTTTTTCTATGACACTGAGAAGGGGCCACCGGGAATTTAGTATGCCGCCATAAAATTTCCGTATCTGTTCGCATTTCCTTCGTTAGTGAGTCGTATCGCTTTCTAGGATCCCTCATCAAAAGTCCATGTATCGTGCCCACACGGAATGCGATCTATAGACGTTCTTGGTGGAACCTTCTGTATTCGCCACATGCTAGTAGTCTGGCCGCATCTCCCTTGCCTTCTTCTCGCCGGGACTCGGCTGAATGTAACCGACCGCATATGGGTTCATATTGCCTCGAGACTGGTATTCTATTTGCAACTTGGACATGAACAGCCTAATCCGGCACATGAATTCTGCCTTGACGATGCCCGTTTCGAACCTTTTTCACAAGACCACATACATGCCGGTGCTGGCTGACCCGCCTACTTACCCTTTAATGAAATCCGTTATACACGGCCACATAGAGGCCTGTCCCGCCTGCTTTTTATGCATTCAGGAGCGAGAGCATTTTCTCCTATAGTGTTAATCCAATCATACTTATTTTGCCTTCATAATATGACGCGCACGCTTCATGGGCGATGCCGTTTCCTTTAGTGTGCCTGCATTACTTTATTGGAAGCCGGGTCGGCACACACATTCCGCCAACTTACCTGTCATCTATCGACTTGACTTTCAGGGATATTAATGGGCCGCAACCATGTTAGGAACTATGGGCAATGAGTGCGGTAGAGGTCAATACCGGAAGCAAGGCGAAAATTCTTCCACAGGACTTGAAAGTGTCAGCATCTCCTTCCGAGCTACACAATAGCGTACTTCTGGCTTCGTCAATCATCGACTTGTATGCCGAATGAATCTTCCCGTGCCATCTGTATTGTGCTTGGACAGAACTGAGCCTGCGGCATTGTCTCTGGCGTCGGAACTTAAAATATAGGTAAACGTACATTTTTTTATTTGTTTCTTCGCATTTCCTTCCATACTTGATCTTTTTTGTACTGTTGTTTGAGTATGCTAAAATACTCACAATAACTGGCTTAGGCTAGCGGCGACGCGTGTTTCGATTGTTCACAGGGGTGGCGGAGAGCAGTGGGGTCCATCGGAGAAGGCGACAGGGTTCCCTCGTCCGAGAGGGGGGGGGGGGCGACCGTTCGCGGGGTTGTTGGAGGTTATTCCCCGCCCGTATTTATAGCCCCTCCATGGCCGATGGAAAAGTTCGGCGCGCGCGCCCCTAAAGGGGTGCGCTTTCTGGAACCTTCTACGAGATGGCGGCAGCACGTAGTCTGGTTTTCTAGAACTTCCTAAATTTTAAAGGACAAGCATTTTTGATTAGGTTTCTTTTAATTTATGGTTAACGCCTCCATGAGCGACATTCCGTCTCCTTTGGTTTAAACCACACCATATTTGCCTCGGCCAAGTGCGGCTGGTGCTGGCAGGGTAGTAGCAAACTATATCGAGACGATATCTATTAGATATCTATTTTTCGAGATTCTTATATCTATTAGATATCGATTTTGTCTGTGATCCAGATATCGAGTAGATATCTATTTTTCGAGATACTCCGAAAGCGGCGATAGGGACGTCCCTATCACTCGACAGAGCACTTCAGCTGGAAAAAAAAGCTGTAGACACTGACGATCTTTCCCACTCAGAGCCTACCGAATTAGGCCGAGGGATGAGGAAAAGGTAAGTGTTTGCTTTTCATTAATTTATCTTTGTAGGTTTGTCCGCCAGCTCACCTCAGACGACGACGAGGATGATGATGATGAAGAAATGGCTGCGCAAAGACCAAGACAAGATAATCAATTAACTGCCACGCATTCTCCAGTAAGAATCCGTGTTTATTATGCCAACTTTTAGACCACGCAATAGCTCGGAAAATACACCTTGGTGGAGAGACTCCAGCCAACCTACGCCACCAAGGGCTAATCAGTACGCCGTTTCTTTTAAATTTTACTTAAGGCCGCCCCGGGAACCTAGCACGACCGCGTTTGACAAACGGTTATCACAGGTGCAGCACGATGGTGAATGCGTCCGGTAAGACTGTTCTGACTCTTGATGACATGCGAGTAGAAAGAAAGTTGATTACGTTGCTGAGGAACTCGTCGAACTACGGGCTGACATAACGCAGGTTAAGGCTACAATGGCCGAAATTTTAAAGGCCGTTCAGGAATTACGTCAGCCTGCTGAAGCGAGACCTCCTTCACTGAAGTTGCCTCTGTGTACGAAGGAGGCTTACCAGGCTTTCGTGAGTGAGCTTGAGAAGAATGCTAGTTTCGCTCAAGACGCGGTATGTAGATATACTGACACTTCTTTATTTGAATGGATTGTAGATTAAACGTCTGGCGATTACAGACGGGCGAAACGAGAAAGAGTTTGTCAGAAATCTACTGACCACTCTACTCGGCCACCCCCTATGCCTCAGTTTCTGCTGGGGCGGAGCAAGAGATAAGCAGGCCTTCGTCGGCAGCCCCCTTTATGGCCTTGTTATTGGTAGGATATTTATTTTTAAGATTACTTGTTCAGCTGCAATTCGTGAACACGCCGCCTTCTCAAATTGCACCGTTGATACAATTCGCAAGAGTACAATTGATTGGTTCCACGGCGAGCGTGACAGATACGGTGGCCGATCAAAGCGGAGAGACAATACCACTGCAAATGCCACGGTAAATTAATTGACTTGAGTCTTTATAAGCCACTTTCAGCTTCCCGTCAGCTACAGCTCAGCCGCAGGATATATGATACAATCTACTTCCGAGGACACTGTAAGTGAGCGTATCTTTATATCTATTAAACCTGCATTTATTCGAGCCTATCAACTTCAAACTACTTAGATCATAAATTATACTACTAAAATGCCTTATTTCAATAGTATGTTTTTTGACAATTTAATTAATAGGACGCTGTGCTTTATTTTATTGTAGATACCTGCCACCGACATGGACGGACTACCAAATATGTCCCTTGAGGAAACATGACTATTTGTACGTATCAAGTTTTCATCTTTATCGATCAATAAATTTTCTTTAACCAATAAATGCCGTTCAAGTGTGCTGATGGATATGGTTCGTTGGGGGGTTTGCAATCACGCGTGAAGGTCCGTTAACGGTCGCGGGAGATATTGGCTTTGGGAAGGCGAGCCGGAATGAAACATGACATATTTGGCGAAATGGGGTTCGCTAGAAGGTAACAAGGGATAAAATAGGACAGATAGCGGGGAAAATCTGTCTAGGAAAAGGGTGATCAGGATTATAACGCGAGTAATTAGACGTAAATGGATCGGTATTACGGTCAGACAGTCGAATATGGCCATGGGTGGGGGCAAAAAACGATAAGTATAAGGCGTCCCCCTGCGCATTTTTTTTGTCGATGAGGGGGCCAGAGGGGGCCACATCGGGGATTTGCCCCGCCATAGCCCCCTCTCCAGCCCCCTCATAGCCCCCTCTGGCCCCGCCATAGCCCCCTCATGAGGCGGGGCCCTGAGGGGGCCAGAGGGGGCTGGTGCTGGCAGGGACACGTCAGGTCATGCGCAAGCTGCCGTTACTTGTTCTTATACCCATACCTAATTTTATTATCGTCTGTTCTCCTTAGTCATCCCAAACCCGGCTTACTAGGCCTGCTGTTGTTCACTTTATAACGCGTTGAACGGGCAAATTCACGTGGCTATTGCAACCGAAGTAACTAGATTGACCAAAAAGAACTGTTTTGAAGACGTGTTAGAAGGGAAAAAGTTTATTGGAGTAAAAAATAATTTAAAAAAGGTTTATTACATAGAAGCATCTTGCGTGGATGATGGTCCATCACTCGTTTAACATCCTGCTTGAACATTCGCTTCACGAAGTCATCTACATTGTGCCCACCAAGTCATGTGAGGTAGGAGGTCTAACGCAAGAGGGAGTTACAAATAGGGTAGCATACCAATTACTTTCGGAAGCTATTGTCCAGTACTTGGTTTCTAAAGTCATCGGCGTTCTCCCGGGGCTCCTAAAAAGGTATAATGGTGTTATTTTCCATCACTTACTGGAAAGTCACCTTAAGGTGATTGGGCCAATTTGGCCACATCCGCCCTTGCCACACCGTGGCCCAACCTAACCCATTTGGGCCGGACTGGGCTGGTGCTGGCACGGCCGGATGTCAACATGTCGAGATAAACGGACATAGACGAAAAAGGGTTGTAGCTCAATGCGCACTAAATAAATATTTAATCTTTGCCCGGTTTCCGTCTTATACGATACCCCTCTATGGGAGTACCTTGTTTATTGTCTATTAACCCACTAGTAGCAAACTATATCGAGACGATATGTATTAGATATCTATTTTCCGAGATACTTGTATCTACCTGATATCGACTTTATCCGCAATCCAGATATCGAGTAGATATCTATTTTTTGAGATACTCCGAAATCGGCGATAACGACACGTTAGGCATTGCGCAAGCTGCGTTTACTTGTTCTGATACATATACCTATTATTATTATCTGCTCGTCTTAGTCATCCCACTCCCGGCTTGCTTGGCCTGCTGTTGTTCACGTTATAACGCGTTGAACGGCCAACGTCACGTGATTATTTCATCCGTAGCAACTAGATCGACCAAAAAGAACTATTTTGAAGACAAGTTGGTTGGGAAAAATTTTATTAGATCAAAAAATAATTTTAAAAATGTTAATACATAGATGCATCTTGTGTGGATAAAGGTCCATAACTTGTTGAACATCGTGAATTGTTGTGTATAGGGTAGGGTTAATATTACAACATTAAAATTTAATCACCTGTCCAGTTTTTGTTACTTACTTCCTTCTGCTGTCGTTGGACGTAATTATCCAAGGACTTTTTGAGTCTTTTTATGAACGCAGACTCAAGATCCGACATTTTGGCAGCGCCATTTCTGTTACAGGCAGCAAAAACGTCTACAAATGTACATAAACCTAGTACCAATAGATATCAAGTAGATATACGGATAATAGCTATTTATCGAGATACTAGATCTGAAGCCGGATGAAGAAGTATGGAGAGGAAGTTTTTCGGGAAATTGAGGAGTCTCTCAGCAAAAGAGGCAGATTTCATAACTCCTCGCTGGATACATTAACGGCAATCGATGAATTCCCAGAACACGAGGGAGATTATATATGTACACATTGTAGTAAGTGATGCACAATGTACTAGAACAGTTTTCCCTGACGACGCAGAAGACAGAGGGCCTGTGAGCACTCAATGTGGCCAGGAGTACGCCTGGAAGTTGCGCCATTGGGCTTTGCAGTGTAAGATAGCACTAGCTCACCTTCGGGGTCTTCTGGCCATCATCAGCCCACTCGTGCCTGAACTCCCTGCTGACCCTAGAACTTATTTGGGGGGGGGTCCTCGTACGATTTGCATGTAGCCCCGATGTGTAGCGGCGAATACATGAATATAGGACTTGGAAGACAGCTTTGCAAACTTTTACGCATCCGTAAGTATTCTCACTGCGTAGCACATGAGGTGCACGTTCAGTTAGCTATAGACGGTCTCCCCATTTATAGGAAATCAAAGACTGAAATGTGGCCCATATTAGGCAGAGTAGTCCATCCGTTTATAAGTAATGTCTTCCCAGTTGACATCTATTGTGCCGGCGGAAAGCCGTCTGATGTTCACGTGTACTGTCGGTGAGATTAGGTACCTTCAGGAAAGAGGAATCCCATTTGACGAAATGAGCCATCCTGCTCACGTTCAGGTAATAGCCGTTATCTGTGATGCTTCGGCCAGAGCTTTTGTCAAGCAGAGTAAGAACGTGAATGCCTACCACGGATGCGAACGTTTCACAGTGGTAGGAGAATATATGGGAACAGTGGTGTACACCGAGGAAGGGAATAGGTACAGGAAAGATTAAGACTTTTTGCAGCCGACGGACGACGAACACATAGCTGGGATATCACCATTTTTGTCCTGTAACTTCGGACTTAGTTTGTGGGTAAGGAATCATCGTTCGAAAGCCAGTGGTCGTAGCCAGGCTTCGAAATTGAAGGTAGGGGAAGTCGAAACCATTGACAGTAGACTTCACACCATTAATGCATACCTACCGGCAGAACTTTCGTAACGGAGCAAATCAATAAGTGATTTCGAAACGTGGAAAGCTACGGAGTTCAGGCAGTTTCTATTATATTCTGGTGTTCTTGTTCTCTCAGACGTTTTGCCGCATAAGCACTTCAAACTTTTTTGCTATTGTTTACTTCTCCACGTTTACTAACTAACCCAGTTACGTGTAGGAGCAATGAAGGGTATTGTATGCAGTTGTTGAAGTTGTTCACCAGAAAGTTTTCAGGCTTATTTTGTTTTGTACATATGGTGTACAGTGTGCACAGCCTAATGCACATTGCCGAGGAGGTAGAGCGTCATGGTGTCCTAGACTTCTCAACTTTCTCCTTCGAAAGTTACCTCGGTAGATTAAAGGGTTTACTCAGAAGTCCGTCGCGACCACTGCAGCTGATTGCACGGCGACTCAGCGAGGTGGAGGTAATTACATACGACCAACCCACGCTACAGTCCCCTAAATTACTTCATGGCCATAATGCAGTAGTTCCCGTTGGTTTCGAAGACTGAGCAATACCAGTGTGTGCTCACAGACAGCTTTAGGGTTGACATCACACCGGCCAATCGATGCATTGGCATTGGTGGTAAGATCGTTTGTGTCAAGAACGTATTGCATGACCGACGTAGTTGCCTGCGAATAGTATTCAGTGAGTTCGTAAACATTTCTGATTACTTTGACTATCCACAACGATTGTCCTTGATAAAGGTGTTTACTGCTGAGCTTGACACCACTAGCAGCTGTGCACCGTTGCCAAATACGTTCAGTAAGTTTATCTGCTTCCCACAAGGTACTCATTATGCTTTAATAGAATTATTTAGCAGTTATTAGTAGACCACTTACATTTTTCGAAAGCATCAACATTACGCCCTCCAAGGCATGCTAAGTATGACTCCTAAGCGAAGGAATAAGGAGAAACATATGCCATACCAGCTGCTTGTAGAACTCGGAGTTTAATAACCGTCTGTTGGTTTCGAAAAAGCTGACTACTAATCGGCCGGTCAGTAGGATGTCCACCGGTAGGCCTCGATTTTTCCTTGGAGGAACTACCAGAGGCAGAAAGAAGCCGTGCGCTATTCAAGCATCTGTCTAGTCGGCAATTAGGGCAAGTGCTTAACTCCGGCGTTTCTGGCCACGCCCCTTATACAACACTTTGTTGCCATTTGCGTCGTTTTTTCTCCCTGAGACCATAAGTGGGGAAGTCTGTCGAAAAATTTCCCAATCGTCGGCAGCAATCGCACGAGACCCCAGGGCAGTTCGCCGACGAAATGTTGAAATCATGCAAGGAGGCTTATCGTTCTTTGACGGCCGAGGAGGTCGTCCTTCGTCATTTTATTAAAGGGTTGTCTTCTCGCGCCCTGGCAGACTCACTCATGTTACAGCCTCCAGCATTTTTAGAGGACGTTATCGAACGGACTGCTCGGTTCATGCAGGTTGAAAGATCCAGGGCTTCCTCTGGGCAACATTGGAGGCCGACATCATAACGCCCTCAGATGACAAACACCTCAAATTTTACCCCACGCCGTTCTGGGCAGGCTTTCAGTGATGGCGTTAGGCACGGACCGCCCGAGTTCTCGTATCACCCACGCGACATTCAGTCGGCACAATCTCAGCGAACGCAATGCCAGTGCGGAGTCCGGCAGTGGCAGCCAACAGAAAGACATCCGTACCAACAACCTTGTAATGTCTCTGTTCCTAATTGTTACCTACCTTTTGATGGCCCCTCCTTCTATATGGCTACCAACGTTGACAACAAACCGGTTAGAGCTTTTATTGATACTGGCGCTACATTATCACTTGCCAATCGGCGTATCTTATCGCAATCTCTCCTCGGACACATATACAAGATAAGCCTCTCCCATCGTTATTTGCAGCTAATGTATCTCCCTTAGAGTGCCCACGAATCGTTCATATCACATTACAGTTTGAGCATTCTTGCAAAGACCATGATTTCTTAATAGTTCCCGGCCTCGCATGGGACTTACTGCTAGGTATTGACTTTCTTAGCAAATACGACTGCCGCATTAACGTCAGAAATAGAGCGGTCAGTTTCGTCGGGTAAAAGAACTTCGCAAAAGCTGCCGATTTGTTTGACGAGTCTGTTGTTTGCGCAAGAATCTCTGCCGTCCTAAGTCTACCACCCACAAGCATTTACGATATTCTAGAGAATCACATGGATAAGCGCAAAGATCATAGAGAATGACTTTGGTCACTGTTACTATTCTTTTACGATGTTTTCACTTGGGATAAAAGCAAAATTGGTCGTACGAGCTGCATCCGCCACACTACTGAGACAGGAAACGCAAACCCAGTGTGACAACCGCCGAGGACAGTCTATGTAGGCTTCCTTAGTTTTTCTGTCGGATCGGATGTCTTCTCGGTCAGGATCCTAAAAACTAGTGTCCTCAAAGCGCAAACATATGCAAAGCAGGATAGATTGACGGTAAGAACGGACGTAGTAACACGTAGTAATTATTTCTGCTCTGGCTTCCTTCCAACTTTCTCCTGCGCGGTTCGTCGACTAGCCCCTTCACACCCAACGCAGTAACTAAAAATCAAGTTTTAAAAACAAGTGAGTCAAAAAGAACAATATTGGCAAGGCCATGTTCAAACAACAAGTTCGGGTTTCACTTCTACACAAGAGGCGGCTCTGTCTTCAGAGGCGCTGTCTGTGAGGCTCTGTCGGCGATTTCCACATCATTGGAGGGCTGGGGCACCATGTGATGGAGAATAATGAGTAAGGAGTCAGCGGTCGCGTCGCGTAGCCGGCGTGAGATGACTCTAGGTGGGCTCTGGCTAGATTGTGTGTAGTCCTTAAGGTTTCTTGAAGCTCTATGACGAAAGTATCCGGCTGATTGTTGTTATAGGTGGGGAGTGGGAGATGGGAGTCCATGGGTAGCTGAAGATGACGACCGGTTAGCATGAAGAAGGGAGCATAGCCAGTCGAGACATGGACTGTGCACCCATATGCCATCATGGCGTATGACGGCCGAACGTCCCAGTTATGTGGGTTGTGGTCTTCCGCAAAAGCTTTCAACAAGTTGATAATGGTCCGATATGTGCGTTCCATCGGGCCATTACTTTCGGGGTGTGCCGCTGTAGTGTGCGTTTTGTCGATCTGAAGGAGATTACAAACGTGGCGCACTAACCTGCTCTCGAAGTTTACTCCACAGTGAGAGTGTAAGGTGGTAAGGGCTCCAAAGCGACAAATACAAGTGTTGAGTAAAGCGGTAGTAACCGACGCCGCATCCTGTCATGGGATAGGGACTGCCTCGGCCCATTTAGTAAAGTTATCGACCATTACTAATATGAAGAGATTGCCAGTAAGGGTGATGGGTGAAGGTCCGATCACGTCAATGCCCACACGTTCGAATGGGAACCCTCCCATCATAGGTTGAAGGGGCACTGGGCGTCGAGGGTTAGGTCCTTTAAAGGTGGCGCACGTGGGACATGTGTTGCGAAAAATCGAAACCTGTTCTCTGAGGTGCGGCCACCAAAAGCGTTGTCGTACTGCGGCCTCAGTTTTCATATGACCCACATGACCGAGCTCATGGTGAAGGTCGTCCAGTATGGGGGGGCCTAGGCTGCCGGGTACAGAAAGTCGACGTGAACTGTGCGACTCGTCCTTGAAGAAAAGCAGATCGTTTTCCATGAAAAGGTGGGCCCAGTGATTTCGTAGGATGCGAGCAATACCGTATGAACCACGCAGTTCGTCGTCTGTCGATGTTTCCCGTCGAGCTTGTGGTCACAAACAATGACAGTATCAGGGTCTGTGCTTTGAGCGACCGCCCAATGGTGGCGGGTCGGCTCACTGATGGTAAGTGCGCTGGCATATTCGGCGGAATCGCATAATGTATCGGGGTATTCGTCAGGAGGGCCCATTGACTGAGTAACCCGTCTCCCTCCACAGATCCCTATTTAATAAACGTTCATTTGTTGACGATTCGAGTTTAATATTGTCTGTTGAATTCCGCGTGTTTAAGTGTGTACGATCTTCATGCAAGAAAAGTCAGGAACGAAAATGCCTACAGTCATCCCAATTGACGATCAGCGCCAATCGCCTCCTAGGGACACCAATCTAGAAGAAACTAAACCGACAGGTAACCCGGATATTGCAGCTTTATTGATTACGCCCATATGCCTCGATCAGAAGTTATCCCTCGATCGTATCTCACCGAATGCGAATTTTTCCGAGCAGCAAGCTCAGCTAATCGACTTCAACTCGGGACCTTCTGGGCTTTGCCCGGAGCACTAGTATTAGTGCTCCAGGTTACGATAACCTAATGCTGGAGAGGGCTTTATCTTTCGTGAGTTTGTACAAAAATTTGCCTTTGCCTTTTTTCCCTATACTTCTCTGTTTCGAAAGAAATAAGCTCTTTGGGAAAGATAAACAAGTTTTATTGTAATTTTTCGACCTTGGTTCCCCAAATAGTCCTCAGACGTGAAGTCAGTGTGCAAAGCAGTTAACATTTATCTAAGGAAAATGAAATGCTCACCGGATCGAGGGACTTGTTTGGTTGACGTTTCGAAGAGCTGGGGCGGCTCTCCATTATCAGAGCGTCTAGGGAAAAATCGATCAGAATTTTGAATAGACAGCCGGATTAGTTGGCCTTGGGCTGATCTATTTTTTCCCCTTCTTCCGCTTCCTTGGTCTACTGGCCGTCGTTTGTGAGTGTTGGTGGCCTCCTGCGTTTTTTGTAATCACCTCAGTTGGGATCAGTTGCGTTTATGCTCCCTTTCTGGGTGAATTATTCGACGGGCCGTGTTTGCTCGGTAGTCTTAGGCTCCTTATGACTGTCTTGTCCTCGTCACGGCGTATGCAATGACGTAGGACCTTATTAGGCCGAAGGAAGGTCTAGATGCCTGTTGATGGAGTTGACATCTGAGTACCAAGCCTCAAGTGTGAGACGCTCCGTCCTTGAGGTGCCCCCGCCTAAGACGGCCGCGCCTTGAAAATCAAAGCTGTGACCAATTTCCCCGATGTGAGCCGCGAGCTGTGAGTTTGGGTCTAGTCTCCGAGTTGCCAGTTTGGGCTCATGTAGGCGGGTCTGCAATTTCCGTCCGGTTTCCCCAACGTAGTTGCAGTATCCACCGTTACAACGTATTTGATGGACAACTGCTGAAGTTTTAGTGGGTGGCAGTATGTCTTTGGGTTGCATCAAACGGCGGCGAATTGTTGCCTGAGTCGATGGGCAGTGCCTAACCTGGCGGGTTGTAACAGTCTTGAAACCGCCGCGGACTCCCTTAATGTAAGGAATGGTCCTCCAGACTTCGGGTTGTTCATTTTGTGGCCAACTAACCCGACTACCTATTCAAAATTCTGATCGATCTTTTCACTAGATGCTTTGATAATGGAGAGCCGCCCCAGGTCTTCGAAACGTCAGCCAAACAAGTCCCTCGATTCGGTGAGCATTTCATTTTCTTCAGATTATCGACCCGGATATTTTACTTTTGCTAACCTGAGTCAACATTTAAACATGCTTAAAAAATCGATTTTGCCCTGTTCTGATTGGCCAATGCCTTTTCTACTTTTCCATGAGGCTGTTGTACACCGCATCCAATTCTACGTGTCAGTTGATGCATGCGTTATCAGCATGGAGGGCCTCTAAAAATTCACGGCACTTCTTAGATGCGCAGACACCTACACTGCGAGTCTTGTCCCAGACGAATTTGTGTCCAGTTTCAAACTTATGCATGGCAACTTGGGACAAGTAGTCTCGCCTTTTACGGCCAACTGATGTTCGTGTATTCGTGTAGAGACCGATTTCCCAGTTTGGCCGCAGTAAACCGCATTGCAGGTGTCGCATGGTATCTTATAGACGACTTCCTTCTTATCTAAATAGCCAATCCTATCCTTAGGGTATACAAACTGGTTAACAGGTATAGTCGTCGGCTTGTGCGCCACATGTATTCGGTGCTTCCTCACTTGTCTTTCAACTAGTTCTGACACATTCTTAATGTACGGAAGTGTTCGCCAGTTTTTTGGTTTGAACGCCTGATCGGAACAATCTATTTCCTTGTCCTTTTCTTATAACTCCTGTCGTCTCATGCACCGGTGTACAAAGTATCTACGATACCCATTCTGGGAACAGTTTGGACAAATAATTCAGTTCTGTTTGATACGTTTCGTTGTCAGAGCAGTGAGTTCTTGCATGGTTAAGGAGGCTGTTCAGGGGACTCCGTTTGTGAGACATCGGATGATTGCTCTCGTAAAAGAACTTCCGCGTAGGTTTCCTGGCGGTAAACCGAAGTGTGAAATGTCCCGTCAGGCTTTTTCTGTACGAGAATATTCAAGAAACGGGAGTTTGTTGTCAGCCTCTTTCTCGAGCGTGAATGTGATTCCTGGAAGTGTTGAGTTAATAATATTGTGGTGTATTTCCAGTTGATAATTTTTGACAATGACAAACGTGTCATCAACATATCGTACCCATAATTTGGGGTTAACTGGTGGTAAGGCGATACCCTCTAATTTCTGCATGGTGACTTCTGTGGGAAAACCAGAGATGGGTGATCCCATAGGGGTTCCCTTCAGCTGTTGATAGTATTCCTGTGTAAATGAAAAGTTCGTTTCCAGACAAAGGTCTTAGAGTTCTAACAAAGCAGATGCAAGGACATCCATGTCGTTGTACTGGAGACGTTCCTCTGTACCTAGTCTTGCTAAATCTATTGGTATGGAGTTGAACAGAGAGACGACATCGAAGGATGCAATTATTTCATCTGCTGCGATTTTCAGTCCTTGTAATTTGTCCAGAAACTCTATTGAAGTATTGATTAATGCTTCACAATCCTTTGCCAACGGATAGCGTTTGTGGAATAGACAGTTAGAAATCTTGTAATTAGGTGCACCGATTAACGATACTATCGGTCGCAGTGGTACTTCAGGTTTGGGAATCTTAGGTAGTGCATAGATCTTAGCAACGTCGCCCACGTAGACTTACGTCTTCCCTGTATCTCCCTAATAACAATGCTGTCTACATTCTGAACAGATATTTAGGGTATCCTACGCAGATTCTGCATAATGGTTGCCACACTTATTGTCCGTAGAATCTGCTCAGAGACTACACAGAATCTTCGTAGAGCTTCGGCGTAGAATCTGCGCAGAGGTTGAGCGCAGAATCGGCGCAGAAAATTCTGATTTCGTTTTTTAACCAGGCAGAACCGCCCCCCCCCCTTATTCATAAGCAATTTTTATCCGGCCATTTAACCATTTGTCTCCCTCCCTTTCTCCTATTCCGATTTTCCATAAAAATTCGATATGCAAGCCTGGAAAGATTTTTTTAAAAAAATAAGAATTTGATTTCAACAAGGTGCGAGTAGTATAAAGCCTAAAAATCAATATTGCAAAGGCACAAATCCGAGTGACAAAATGAGTCTTTACAGGAACGGGGCAAAGACTGGTAATATGTACAGGGACGCTGCTTCAAGGCTAAGTTGAAGGACCGGCTGACCCGGGGGATGGACCGCTCTGAGTTTAGTCGTCGTCGACGTCGTCTAAAATCAAACAATACAATATTAACCAGTGCGGTTATTGAAATGTTGTATGCAAGCCAGCTTGCGGTTCAGGAAAACAAGTTACAGTTATTAACGTTATGAAGAGTTCACTAACCGTCCACACACTGTGACGTCGACGCCTTACTCCTACGCTTGTGTAATCTGTCGTAGGCCTTTCGAAAGGTAATCCGGGAAGCCCTTTCTCAAATTGGTGTCTGTCGCGGTTCCGCGTGGAGTTCCATATTGTGAAAACATCTATGTTGTTGCATAACATATTACGAAATTGATGTCTGTCACACCCACAACCAAACCATACACCGTCGATCCAAAGAAGGCCTGCTTCCACTGGGGCCGTTATCCTGTGGTGGAACAGGGTATTGAAAATCCTGTCAGCGAAGGCAGTAATGCTGTCGCCGCTGTTGGATGGTAAGTGTAAAATGTAGCGACAAACTTGTAATGAGTCAGCTTCTGTAGGGTTGCCATGCGTTGAAACACAGGCTCATGAGGCCCTGGAGTGGTGGGCATGGGGGGCTACAACAGGAGGCATGTTCATTACGGCTTTTTCATAAAGGGCATCTAATTGCACCTTCATTTCTCACATCGTTTTAGGCGTCTGGACAAGGTGCTGCATCATCCATCGGAAGCAAGTCTTCAGAGAAGACTTCCTCTGACGGGAAAATGAATGACGGCGTCTGCTGCTGCTGCTGGTGCCTAGGCCGAACAGTTCGGATGCGTGAACGAATACCTGCGTATGGTGGCGACGTGCCCAATGACAGCGTGTAGCCGGAGTCACCATCCTCTGCCTCCGATTTCTGAAGGGGAAGGGATGTTAGTTAAGTCGCGACCCTACTGAAGATGGTGACAAATCCGGTAATTCAGCGAATATTCCCATGTTACATTTGAAGAGTTAATTTGGCAAACACGGGTTTTCGGTAACTCGTCATCAGGCCAAAACAGTTGCATAGAAGTTAAAATTATGCGAAGTTACAGGGTTTATAAGTGATTCAGGGGCTATTCACACTCAATGACCACGACACGCCGGCTACGCCATAGCACGCCTCGCCATGCGAGTGGCGTGGGAACGATGAGTGTAAATAGCCCCTGAATCACTTATAAACCCTGGAGCTTCGCATAATTTCAACTTCTATGTAACTGTTTTGGCCTGATGACGAGTTACCGAAAACCCGTGTTTGCCAAATTTACCCTTTTAAATCCGGTAATATCCACATGCCTTCTTTCTCATAAGAATTTTCAACCAATTGCTTCAGCTGCTCTTTTCTCTTCTCCTTCTCACTGTCCGACATAGTAATCTGCACCCCAACAGTGCAATAAGGGGTTAGGGGAGTTAAAACTATGAAATCCATCCGAAAGACCGCCACAAAACAGCTTTCACTGTGCCGCAAGGTCTGTACGAATTCCAGACACTTCCATTCGGACTTTGTTATGCTGCCACCACCTTTCAGCGGTTGATGTGTTAGATGTTACGGCACCTCATCCCCACCAAATGTCTCGTCTACCTGGACAATATTATTGTATTGCGGCAGACAATCGACCAACACAATCATAATCTAAAGGAGATTTTGGAGGCACTCCGCGGTGCCGGCTTGGTGCCAAACTCCCATAAATGTGTCTTCCTATGCTCAAAGGTAAAACTCCTGGGTCACAAGATCTCACTCGGCCATATAGTTGCCCTCCCCGACCGGCTACAGCAAATTCGCACGTGGCCAATCCCGATAAATCAGTCGTAGCTTCGTAGTTTCCTTGAGCTAGCTTCTTACTACAGACGGTTGATTCGGGACTTCGCTCACATAACCGGTCCGCCAGATAAACCCACGGAAAAAAGGCCGAGAATTCAAGTGGTCTTCCGACTGCGAGGAAGCTTTTACTAACCTTAGATCCGCCCTCTGCTCAACCCCACTCCTAGCCCTCCCTGCTCTAGACCCCGACGCACTCCCTTGTATACTCGACACTGACGCTAGCGAATTCGCCATGGGGACAGTCCTCACTCAAGCGGATGATAACGTGTTCGGAAACTCGATATGCTTCACGAGCAACACATTCACCAAATCCCAACGGGACTATTGTACCTTCCGCAGATAACTTTTAGCCATCATAACATTCATTCGTCGGTTTAAACACCTACTCATCGGACGTCATTTTATCCTCCGCACTGACAATCGAGCGCTCCAATGGTTACAATCTATTAAAGACCCCATGGACTAACTCGCCCGGTGGCAGGAATTCCCACAAGATTTCGACTTGGAGTGTCAATATCGTCCGGGCCACAAACATGGAAGCGCTGACGTTTTCCCTGTACGTAACCACCAGATCTAGACAGCAACATCGCGTCAGTCAATGCGATCACGATGTCCGAACCCACCCGTCACGCTTGGTCGTCGGCCCAACAGACTGACCCCGACACAGCCATCATTTATAACCACCTGTTACAGCACATCAATAAACCCACTGAAGTAGACATGAAAGGAGCCACACAAAACGCACGCCTCCTCTTACACCGATAGCCCCACCTTCGATATCCTGTTCTTCCGCGACCCCTCACCAAAACAACTCCGCCCAGTAGTGTCGGGATGTTTGATTGACACCGTACTGTCAGATCTCCACACAGAATTAGTTTATTGCGGCTAACGACGCACAGAGCTGGCGGCACGTGCACGATTTTGGTGGCCCTAACTCCGTTCTTAAGTCCTCCATTTCTGCCAATCGTTTACCACCTGTGCATTATTCAAGTCACCGATTCCCTTTCCCCCTGTCACCCATGGTTACGGGTTTTCCAGGCGAGCGCGTCGGTTTAGAGACTATTGACCTCCTATCGATATCAGCCCGTGGATACGAATATATCCTGGTTATGGTAAACTATTTTTCAAAATGGGTCGAAGAAGTACCCCTACTTCGCCAAGACGCCATCTCCGTCGCAAACGCCATCAACCGAAAGTGGGTTTGTCGTTGCGGAGCCCCAGTATCCTTCCATTCCGACTGCGGTAGTAATTTCGACCCCCAGCTCTTCCGTGAAGTGTGCAACCCCCTAGACATCCACAAAACACGCACGACACCATACCACCATGAGGGTAATGGTCCTGTCGAACGCACCAACCGAATCATTCATAATCTCCTCCTAGCATTTACCAAAGACAGCCATGAACATGACTGGGACGTCTTACTTCCATTCTGCCTTCTGGCCTCCAGGGGCTCAGTGCACTCCTACACTGGATTCACACCCCACTGCCTCTGGACAGGTCGCGAGCTACGCCTCCCAGCAGATCCCCAGTACCCTCTACATACAGTACCTGTGATAACTCATGAACTGTCATGAATTAACACAGGTTAACGACTTAAACGCAGAATCGGTAAACACTACGGCTCCCAAAGCCTGATAGCGGAAAATAAACGATGTGTCAAAGAAATAAAGCAAAGTTTGGTTAAGAAAATATTATTTACTGAGATAAAAATAAATAATTTTCGACAAAAGTCACATTTTCGAGAAACGCCTATATTACAACCAAGTTAATAAAGGCTACGTATGAGGACGTATAAAGGAGGAGGAGGAGGGCGCATAAAAGGTCAAAAATAATTAAGGACAGAAACAGATACAAAAAATTAGTACTTTGTAGATTGTCCATTCGAATTAATAACAGCAGAAAGTCTGTCCGACATAGACATGACAAGGTTATCTATGGTGGATTGTAATTATTGAGTATGAAATCCAATTTTTCCTGCATTGAAAGAGTCTTCTTAGCTTTGTGCCAATTTCTTTTGACTATTCCAAAAAGATTTCCGATAGGATTCAAATCGGGACTGTCGGCCGGGATGAAAATGGATTGGAGGCCGATGGCGAAGAGGGTGGTTGTTGTCTAAAATGTTAGATTATATTTGCAAGCGGCATCAAATTCGTACCTCTTTAGAACGGTGGACAGGTGCATTGTCCTGCAAAATTACAGTATCCATTCGGCGCCGACTTATGCCGTTGTAGCCGAAAGCATCCTTGACAATTGCAATAAACACCTTGCTGTTAATGGTGTCGGATGTTGACCGCCAGACAGGCCGCTCACCGAATTTAATCGCCCTCCTAACCATCATCCGCCGACAGTTCTTGAATGTTGCCGTCGGTGTAGTGTGTACACCGGACCCCACAATCATAACCACCTATGCCTCCCCACTTTGCGAGAAGATACGTAGCGCATACAACTCACCACGTGAGGCAATCAGTCCAGCATCTTCACGTCAAAAACACAATGTGATCGCCACTCGGCCGGCACTACACAGCAAGTGCAAATTATTTCTCGACGGTCCGCTTTGGGCGCTTGTTGTTTTAGTTCCCTTCGTCGTCGAACACAGTACTGCCTCCCTTCACTGTCCACTAAACAATAGCCAAGGGACTGTTGATTTGTAGGTTTCGTGGCTAGTGACCGATTAACGATGAGAGGTACAGTGAGACCTCAAGCATTATGCGAAAATTTACGAGAATGGTACCGCCCGACGCAGTCATAAACATACAAAAATTGTCTCGGTTGTGGGCGGAAAACCGCACAAACAGTCATTGCTGCCAGTCATCAGTGTCCCAAAGTCCATTGATTTCAATTAGGACGAAGTGATCCTCGATGAGTGAGCAGATATATTTCCGTACGGATGGCAGCAATGGGCAAGTGTTAGGTACGGTCTCCATTATAGCTTTAGAAACTAATATTTGATGAGTTAGCAAGATAATCTAAATAGTCTTCCACATTCTCATACTCAACGTAAACTAATCCCATGTCTCTACACGGATAGATTACTATGTTCTGGATGCACAGTAACTTGCCGTCGATTGCGACTGACCCCTCAGTTGGAGTCGTTCCGATGGGAAGTCCATGTTTCTGAATCGACCTGAATTGTGTGAACGGACCACCGGTTGGCGGTAGTGGACTGCTACAGTGCTCATCGCTAAAAGTTCAATCTGATTGACGGTGTGATAAACGCCGCTCTGCCCGCGGCACCCCTCATCTACTCACAATTTTCTGCAGCAGTTGTGACGGTTTTCTAGGCATACCTTTCAATTTATCAAGAAAACTCGAGGGGAAGTGACGAGATGTCCTCAAGCGGACCATGTCGTAGAACATCGTCCGGTAGGTGCACAATGATGTGGACATTGTACACTATTTCAGAGTTACCACATATCTTGGAATATCTCCAAACGAACATGTTTATCAATTGTTTCTTTGCAGCTTTAATTGTTGTTTAAACTTCAAGAGTGGTGACCCCCTTCTTCTGCGTTTACGTATCGTTCTACTTATAATGACCGATAACGAGGCCAACCGAGACCCTGTCGACGTTAATACACTCTCCTTTAAATTGCCGCTATTCATGCTGAGCAACCCCTGTGTATGGTTTAAGCATATTGAGGCCGTCTTCTATTTGTGCCGTATCACCAGTGAGCGCATGTGTTACTCATACGTGGTGCAATTACATCTCATCGATGTTGCTGTCGACGTCGATGGTCTACTTAGACTGATTCCGGCTGATGAACCTTACGCCTGACTGAAGGATGCTCCTATTCAGCGGCGACCAAACGCCTTCTGAACTGACGCGACAAATTGCTAATAGAAGCGAATAGGTGAGCCCCGGAAAGTAGTCGCGGAGAAGGAGATACGATCGCCGGAACAAGAGCTTTATTAGCCTGACGTTTCGGATTCCAACTCGAATCCATCATCAGAGACAGAGTCAGATAAGGGTAGTGGATTGCCCAGGTGTTGCAATATTTATAGGATGTAGTACCTAGGCCGCTACATGTCTATCACAGTTGGCAGCTCCCGACTGCATCACAGCTCGACTGGCCAGTTGTTGAAGTATGCCGTTGCTATTCGAGTGGGAATCCGAAACGTCAGGCTAATAAAGCACTTGTTCCAGCGATCGTGTCACCTTCTTCGTGACGCGACAGATGCTTTCACTACTACCTGGTCGTCACATGGACGACGCAATTTTCCGAGAGATCTGCTTGGATAAGCTACCAATTCCCATGCAGCAGATTTTGGCCATGCTCGACACGAGAAAGTGGCCAACCGGACTGACCAAATCAAGGTATGTTACCCTAGCGTACGTCATGTTCTAATGTTCAACAAACACCGCTCTCCATTAAATCCGATAGATTCGTTACTTCTGATCTCGAAGGCACTCCCAACTCAGAACGCGGTACTCCCTTTGCAGGGTCATCATCCTGCTGTTACACTTCTTGACGAGCCACACCATCATCAAGTCTCTCAAGAGTGTAGCGGCTAAGCGGTGACGGGGTATGTTCAGTGCGTCACAACTTCAGGCCATATCCCAAGTTGTAAGAAGCGGGGCGCCGGTTGGGTAGAAGATTTTATTCTGTACAGAAGGATAGGGGAAAGTTGTCAACCGGACGAGGGTGGGTTCGGCTCCGCGGAAGGCGGCATCCGCAAGAGCGACTAGCCGTGTGTCGCCGAAAGTCGCCGCTGCTAAAGTGTCGTGGCAGATTGTTTACGCCAGTGGTCTGGATTGTGTCCGCCTGTGGTAAACCAATCAGCGAGAGGAATTGCGTTGATTGACTCCGAGCCCCCGCAAGGGTAGTGACAAGCCTCGCATGGTTCAGGCAGGGAATCGACCAGATGCGTGGAGCAGACAGTGAATTGCAATGAGACAAATCGAAGCCGGGCAGACTTGCGTGCCGAGGCAGGCCGTTGCTAGGACGTAGCTGCAGGCGCTAGCAAGAAGCGCGACGTTGCCATTATGGTTGCCCACGGGGGCACCAGATACTCCCTGCCGCGGCGACTACGAGAATTTAAAAGGCGCGGTACGTGTTTTTAACATCCAAGTCAGCACCTGGTTTTCCGCCATTAGGCTTCAATCAGCCCGAAGCCAAGCATATCGACGCCGTCGTTCTCAGTCACGTGGGCGGCGGTCGCAAATCTTGTGCTGGTATAATCGTATCTATATTCAAAAATTACGCAAGTGAACCCCACCTTGCGCATCCTAGCAATCGTCACTACAGTTAACTGACTACGCCAGCTACTAATGGCGACGACGGCTGTCGGCCAGTCGCGACCCAGTCGCCTCTTTCACATTACCGAAAATTCGACCGGTCTACGTTTTCATATCGATACCGGTGCTCAGGTTTGTGTCATCCTGCTTTCTAAGTGTCATCAACTTGAGCCTTCGCAATTTTCATTACAGGCTGCTAATAGCACAACCACCAACACCTACGGACAACGCTCCCCAAACCTTGATATCAGTCTCCGGCGACGTTTCCACTGGGTCTTCACTCAGGCTGACGTTCAATCGCCCATTATCGGGGCAGATTTCCCGTCATATTTTTGGCCTGGCCATCGATTTAAAACATCGTAATCTCGTCGATATCACAGACAAACTTTTTACAATTGGTACCGTCACCTCTAAACCTTCCGTAGGCATCCGCCTGACTACTCCAAGCTCGCCATTCGTCGACATTTTGAACGACTTCTCGTCCCTCACTAAGACTCGTCAGTTCACCGAGGAAGTCCAGCATGCGGTCAAACATCATATCGCGAAGAAGGAGACACGATCGCCAGAACAAGAGCTTCATTAGTCTGACGTTTCGGATTCTCACTCGAATCCATCATAAGGGACAGAGTCAGAAAGGGGTGTTAATTTGCCCAGATGTTGCAGTCTTTATCAGGATGTAGTAGCTAGGCCGCTACATGCCTACAGCTTCGGGTGCATTACGGCTCGACCGGCCAGGTGTTGAAGCATACAGTTGCCGTTCAGTTGCTATGCGCTTGTGTGCCGGTCAAGATTATCGAGTTGCTGAAGGCCGTATTTCCTCTTCTGTATGGTCTGTTGGGTAATTTGACTCGCCGATACAGTGGTTATCCGCACGCTGTCCACGCGGCTAACTACTTTGCCTAGACGGTCTCCGCGCCGAATATGGAGACGGGAGGTCATTGCACTTGTTGATTGACTGAAGACCGGAAAACCATGACTCGAACAGTTCGCGGCTCACACGTTAACATCTCTAGCAAGAATTTCTGCCTCATCATGGACTTCTGAAATATCATGGACACCGGCTCACACAGTACGTCAGTTAATTCTCGGAGGACAAGTGGATGAATTCTATCTGGACCAGGTGATTTGGCAGGCTTCAGCCAACGTAGTTTTGTCCTTATCAACATGGACGAGAAGTAAAGATTGTCATCTAATGCAGGAGATGAAGGTTTTTGCTGTTGGTCTGGGTAAGACAGAGGAGTAGGATTTGTGTCATGGGTGAATACCGACTGAAAGAAACGGGAGAAGACTGATGCTTTCATGTGGTCATCTGTCGCAA